TAGCCCAGTCTTGGACTGGGAAAGAAATGTAAAGTTTTGTGCCATCGACGTAACTTTCAGTACAACAGTCAGACAACAGTCCTTCTCAGGACTACACTCACCCGGACGATCAGACTACACCTTCACAGATATTTATGTGTTTGGCTGCTGTATTATGTGGGCAATTTTTGCCGATTCGCGAATGGAGGTGCCAAGATATCGATAAGTGCTACTTCACGGAGATCATTTTTTGCTCAGTGCATTCAGCAGCAGTGAAGTGTTAGGTAAAACTGCTTTCATTCGGAGAAAACTGCCGACTGAAGCTTGCTAATCTCGAGAGAAAAGAGAGGAAGGTGTTAAACAACTCGCTTTATGTCGAAAGCGACTTCGGTCCTACAGGCAAATTATTCACAGTATTCGCTCGTTGAGGCGTTAAATTTGATCGTTGAGTCAAAATCTCTGCCCGTTTAGGTAAATAACTCGACCATTGAGTTACATTTGCCCGTCGAGGTGAAAGAAAAGCTTGCAATCACAGCGGAGCTCGCAGCACGCAGCGCCGCCCCATGATTGTACAAAATGGTAGTAGTAACACATCAAGCCGAAAAAATTTGGACTTAGGACCGTAGGGGCGTCCGTACAGGGCTTGGCCAACGGACTCAAGCCAATGTCACGGTTTTGTCCAGTAGTCCAGTGGTCAGTGAACTGGGCTCCGAGTCGGATGACCTGGGTTCGAGTCCTGGCCAAGGCAAGGCGTTGTTTTTGTTGTTGTTGTGGTTGTGGTTGTTTTTTATTTTTTCTTTTTGATAAATTCATTTAAAGCATTTTCTTACGTTTACATACACGATAGAAATTAAGAAAAAATAGGAAAGTAATAAAAGAAGAGAGAAAGACACACGCACACCCTTACATAGTACTCTGTAGTACAATTAGAATACTAAGCCAAAACACACGCACAAAGCTATTACAGCAGGGGCCACCATACAGCAATACAGTTACCCAGTATATAAGGCAAGGCGTTGTGCGCTTGAGACGTGCGGGAAAAAAATGCGGGCTCCGCTTTTAGGCTTGGCTAAATCTATATAATTAGATTCAAAATGGGGATCGCTCGCTGAAGCTCAATAAAATGTGCATCGCTCGTTGATCGCTCTTATTATCAGTATCTCCTTCAAGGTCTGACGCCAGCACCCACTTTCACATTGAAAGTTCTAGTATAAGAGATACTTACCCCAACAAACCATTTTTCTTACCCCGATTTTTTCTCAAAAGTAATCCATCTTTCCTCGTTTTCACGTGGTTTCCACTTAATGCATGTGCGTTGCGTAAACTGGTCAATGGCTCCTCTGATGGTCTGCTCATATCCCTGTTGCACTGAGAGAAAAGAATTTTTTTCCAATCAAATTATACGGTACCTTATGGGTAGTTTGTCAAGCATTTCTGTCAACCTTTTAGTATAAAAATCTGGGTAGGAAATTTCTTTCAAACACGTGGAAACTGTTTCAGAAATACTCCTCAAATTAAGAGGAAGAGTGCGTACAAACATCGGTTAGCAAAACCTGCTCACCGACACCATCTATAGCAAATTAAACCGACGCACTGAAAATTTAATCAAGTTTTTAAAGAACATGAATATCACATCACTGGTGCAGTGAAACAAAAATAAACCATTCACTGTCGTTCACTGTCGCCCTTATTGTGGTGATTTTAAAAACAGGACTCAGAAAACATCTCACAGAGTGTATCTGAGATTACGTAGGGAACAATCTTTCCCGTCCAGATGTATCTCCTCAATCTTTGTGCATTTCTCTTCTCCCTTTCCATTTCATTACCACTCGACTCGTCTGAGTATGGAGGCAGCACTATGTCACCTTCGAAAAGATTGGGTTCAACATCTACAGCTGTAGAATAGAAAACAGTTCGAGAATAAAACTGTGTTACTTGTATCGTCAGCTGATGTACCGTGAGCTAAAGGACTGCTTATTATTTAGCGCCTGAACGGGAGGAGGGGGGGCGTCGGAGGATCTCGGTTGGGTCACGACCAAATTTACTGACCCCCCTCCCCATAAGGCTCTGTAATATTCTTATGATGTCTCCCCTCTGCCCATCCCTCATTAGCAGTTCATTGACAGTCGATTTTCTGTAGCTCCCCACTACTTTATACTCTTTTGGCGACGATTGATCCCCTTCGGTTCACCTGGAAACAATGCGTTCCTCCCGAAATCCTCGACCCCTCCCCCCTCGGGTCATAAAGAATGCCTGATCCCAAAACCTGATTATGTAGCATGAAGCGACTTAGAGTTTTGCCACTCTCCGCTGGATGAGAAGCCAGTGCTTCACAGGTTACCCGTTAGCAAAACGCATGCAACAAAATATGGTTTGCAAACAAAAAACTGCAAAAAAAGTTGCGAAGCTTTTTTTTTGGAGTCTCCAGGTTTCTACAACGACAAAGATTGGCGAAAAACTTGTCCTCTAAGGGACGTGGTACTGAGTTGGCCAATCCCAGCGTTCATTTCGACGCCAGTATTAACAAAGTTTCACCCAAAAATCGCTTTTCTTGAGAGGGAGAGACCCTTTCTGAAACAAGTATCTTGCTTCAGAACAGGACACAAACATTCTGCCAATGCTGAGACCAAGGCTACGCTTTTTTTAAATTTCTGCTAGAGGAAATACCAAACACCGTTTTTAAATTATTCTTAAGGGAGTTATTTGCAGGACAAGATCACTTGCTATAGAGAAAACAACTGATGTAAAGGAGTACGTGATCTTTTTAAGAATGCCACGAGTTTTATTGGTTTAAGGACCAGTTTACAAACCTATGTTGACTTTATCGATCATTTCTATAGCTGTCAGATCGGAGTCATCCAGTTGAGGTCTGTTGTCACCTGTAAGAAAGTTTTGAAATTATTTCAAAATTAAACCCGTATTCAACCTGCGAAGTGATGAATCAATGACTGAGAATCTATGAAAATCCTAAATGTGCACTGCATGTATATGTATATGTATATGTATATGGCGATCCTCGCAAGTGTGAAAATAACGCCTGAAAAGAAATCAGGCCTGTACGAAATCATTTTAACAGGTGTAATATTGACAATACTCTTTCGAAAAAACTATTTCCTTGTTCCTGAAAAAGGGTCCCGAATAAGGTGTTACGAGTTTGAAAATGTAAAATTAAACCGATCGGCATGCAGAGTTGATGGTGAAAACGAGAAGCAGTTTTTTTTTATCCGGAAGGTATACATCTCCACTCTCACATCTACCGCATTAAATACAATACGCGAAGAACTAAAAAATAATTAAAGCAAAAAAAGTAGACATAACTATGAGCATACAATAAACGAAACCCAAAAGAGCAAGAACTATGGAAATTAGTCACACCTAACAAAAATAAGATTGTTCTAGAATCTAAACACAATCCTCCTAACATAAGATTTCCATTTCACAAGACGTAATTTTTGTAAAATCAGCATTCCTCTGGGTTTGAAATATTTAGTACGTAAAAAGCTCCATCAATAAACTTAAGACAGAATCTCTTTTATGGTGCGCCAAAAGAATGAACGAGTTACAAGGAATGTTTTCTGAATGGAAAGTATATTTTCCTTGAAAAAGTGGGATGTATTATCTAAATTTAATGAAATATTTCATTTTAAGCTCAAAGATGAACGAAGAGACAAGTTATCTCAGAATGTGAAAGTGTAAGAACTCATTGGAGAACACGTAACAACAAATGATGATATACGAGTATCTTTTTTACTCCACTCTTTGTTTTGCTCTCTTACGATGTATTTGTCGTATTTCTTGATAAAGTAAATCAATATTGTGAAGTGGTCTTCCAGATATTTGAATAGCATGATAAATGGCAAGCATAAATTTTGTAAGTAAATGACATCTCCCTCCCAAAAATGAGAGCTTTTCATGCGGGAAGTTGCGTCGTACGAAATTTTAAAACTTCTGTGGGTGCGGTAAGACTACTATGTGAAAAAAAGAGTGAATCGTACAGGGAAAATGATATCATTTTCCATGCATGTTCTCTTGATTATTCCTATTGTTAATTTAGAAGGTACTTCAACGGCCCTTATTCTTTGTAGTCACGACATATTTAAGACTTCTTCTGGGTTCCCCAGTGATCAACGATACTGAGTCTTTTATAGGGCATTCAAAAAGAATTCTGCTTGCGTTGACTATATGGCCAACCTGTTTCAATGAAGCTCAAAGTTGTCTGTTTGATTTTCAAAAAAATCATCTTCTATACCTTAATCAAAGGAACAAATCAATCAGAATGATCTTCGTAAAATCTGTTTTCCAATTTCTTTTTTAACATTAGATCGACGATTTTTTTTTTTCGCTAAATCACCCTGCAATTGAGACTCTCTCTAAGGAATTTCAAGGCTCGAATTTTGATAAGTTAGGGAGAAATCATTCGAAATACTTGAAATTTGTAACAGCTAAAACGTATACCATAGAACATGTACATGGTATATCACTCAGAATAAGTACTGACACCTCTTCCTAAAGGGGCTTGGATTGAAAACAAAATCGTCACTATGGCCAGCATTGTGGTGTCTCGGGAATTAAACTGCGCTCTGCTTTCAAATTCTCCAGGATTTCGAGCTGTCGGTTTGATTTTCAAAAAGTCAGCCTCTATATCCTGATCGAAGGAACAAGTCAATCAGGATGATCTTCATAGAATCTGAAGTTTTCCAATTTCTTTTTAGCGTTCGATCCACGATTTTTTTAGCGAAATCATCCAACAATCGAGATTCTCACTTTGGAATTTCAAGCCTCGAATTTTGATAAGTTAGGGAGATGTATTATTCTGGATAAATTTGTAACAGCTTGAACATATACCATAGAACATATACCTGGCAGATCACTCAGAATAGGTACTCCTCTACCTAATGAGGCTTGGATTAAAGACAAAATCATCAGCATGGCCAGCATTGTGATGCCCCAGGGATTAAACTGCGCTCTGCTTTCAAATGAAACAGTTTGAACGAAACGGCAGCTATCTATTCAGTTCTTGTCGGTAAAACAGGTGCCATTTCACATGTTTGTTTACACTAGATAGTTAAGAATTTTTTTGTAGACTTGAATTTTGTTTAAACAAGTTCCCTAAGCAAACAAAAGATGCAATTACGTGAAATACGACAATATCGATATTGTCACCTTAAATAATCAAGAAGGTAGTTGTTTGTTGATGAGCTATGATGATGTTAAGTAGTAAATATTTATCATAACAATGTAGTCAGGTTCTTGCTGATTTTCTGTCGGTTGTTCAATCGTAGTCCGCCGTGAAAAAAGAATAATTCTTCTTCGTACTGGATATTGAAAAACAGATAGGGATCAGCAAGGAGCGTTTTCTTTATGACAGCAGGGCCCGGTTGTTCGAAGGCCAATTAGTGCTAGCCAAGGGTTCAATTTTAGTCCAGGTTTCTTTATTTCTCTATTGAAGAATCTTTTTCGGATGATTCCTCTACTCTTTTTAGAGCAACCAATCATCGAATTGTAGACAAAAAGAATTATACTGAATTTTCATTTAAAGCTTTCAGATCTAAAATGAAATATCTCAATAACCCAGCTTTGAACAACCCGGCAACTTTTAATGTACTGAAAAACTATTAGATATTTTAAAATGTTTTGGGTTCGTGTTTCGGAATCGCGAAATCACGAAAGCTGGTTTCAGCAGGATTTTTTTTTTTGTTCTTGTTACAGAGATGGGCCTGTTACTGCTACTTGCACCTTTTATAGGTCATGTACAAAGTTCGTCGTGGAAAATTTTATTGCGAAATAGCTGCTAGAAATCGGAATGCCTTAAAATACGTTTAACTAACTGTTGTGTATGAATGTCTTTTAGATATAACATACAGGCGCGTAGCTCCCTTTGAGCCAGTAAGCCCGGGCTGACAAACTTTTCTCGGAGTATTTATTTTTTCTTGGAATATAATCCCGCGCTATACTTGCGAAGTATTGAACAGGTTTTCAAGCTAAAAATGACATGGTATGCCCCTCACATAGGTATGAGATATAGAGATGATATGAGATATAGAGATGATATGAGATATTGAGATGATATGAGATATAGAGATGACACGATTTCTGTTAATCCAAGCTTTGCCGAATAGTTTTAAAGTGTCAGTGGATGCAAATAAAAACTTGACGCTTGTCAACATGTCGTTACTAACCATGTTTTGTTTCTCACGATCAAAACGCCGGTCATTATATTGTGTAAGAAAATTTAAGGTTCTTTATCTCAGCTTTATGAATCAGGTTATCGAGAAGTGCAGGTAGACTTATGTCAAGTTATTGTATCTTTTTTTGGCACGGCAAAGAATGAGTACATCTCAAGGAAATGAGTGGTGCGCTCTTTTTTTTCAGCCTCTTGTTTCAAGAAAATATGTAATTAAAGGTGACTTTTCGTTTATAAAGTTTATTCGCCGTACCTCCGTACGATCTGTATTGTGTTCATTGAGTTATAAATACTCATAGTAGCCAACTGAGGTGACAAGGAGTTTTTCTTCTTGGACACTAGTTCATTGTTGGT